CATAGAGAAGTGTTAAATCTAATAAGATCCCACACATAATCCACAGATCTCTCCACTCCCCTAAAAATTCTATTGTTTCTCTCCTGCCAAATACCTCATAGAATAGCCAGAAAACACGTTTGCCAAAGAAAACGTCCTTTGTCTCGAAACGGGGGGAATAACAATATTTCCTCCATCATCACCTACAATCTCTAGAACGGGCCCAAACAATCCCAAAACATCTAAAGAAACGAAGCTATAACTCCTGCGCGAACTGACAAGACCACAACAAATGATCCAGATTCTCCGAAGCATTCCTACACAGAACACACCACTGCGGTGCGGACGCAAACAAAGGGAGGACATCCTCTGGATCCGATCCAAGGTATTAACTTTTCCAAGTAAGACTTGCCACCCAAAGAACTTAATCTTCTTTGGAATTTTACTCTTCCAAAGCGAGGTGAACCAAGGGGTAAACAGGGACGGAGAAGAAGAAGAGGACGACGAGGAGTTCAGGACATGGAAAAATGAGCTACAAGAAAAACCTTTCAAAGGATGGGGGGTCCACACCCTCACATCATCCCTCCCAACAAATAAGGAATCTCTAGACAGCTGATCCAATAATTCGGAAACCTCTGACGATTCTCGATTAGTCAAGGAACGGGTGAGCCCCAAAGAGATGGACAAACCCTGTTCTCCCGAACTTAAAACCTCGGCCACTGAAAGGAGTTTCTTATCATATAGAAAGTAGATCCGAGGGAAAGCAAGACACAAGGGTTTGTCGCCTATCCAAGTATCCTCCCAGAAGTACGTATTAAGACCTTCCCCAACAAAGACACATAAAGAATGAGAGAAAACAGGGAAACCCAAAGCAATAGCCTTCCTGGGATTGCAGTTGCCAACTCTAGCCCCACCTGCCTGAACCCAACCACACGGATGAAGCCCATACTTACTCACTATAATCTTTCGCCACAAGGCATTAGGTTCGTGGAAGAACCGCCATAACCATTTAGCCAGGAAAGCCTCGTTTCTAATCCTCAAGTTCCCAATGCCCAGCTCCTCCAGTCTTTCAATGTAAATATTAGAAACCAAAATAATTATAACTAGAGAATAATAATTGAAACCTGCAAGAATATTTGAACTTCAAAATATAGAAGTGTTTACTATGTCCTTGCAAAGTCTAAATTCTAAATATTTAGAAAATGATGTGTCATTTATGTTATTGACAGTGTGCAAATAGATTAGAACAGTTTTCTTTTGCATATACAATGTGTGCATTGCAGTTACCGTACATCAAAGAAACCTAAAAGAATTAAAGGAGAGACAATTGGTACTTACTTGCTATCATCTGGCCACCACACTTTTATCTTCGAACCAACCAAATTTTCATCAGAATCCTTGGTTTCAGACTCCTGAAAATAACAGCAAGTGAAAATGAGATTTAAGTTCTCAATACAACAACAAAAGGCAATGTGCCAATGTGTAGTTTTAAGATCATATACAAAATTGAGGCAGACAGCATGGCATTAAAACCAAGAACGGTATTACAATAGATCAATGCAAAAGTCCAAAATATCCACCACTTCATCATGTTTAGGTTCTGGTTATTTTATGATAACTCATCTAGGTTTTAGTTATAAATCATTCAAGTTTCAAAAACTCGAAACAAAGAAGTTTGCAGCCGATGATATAGTCTACAAAAAGCAAGAAAAAAAAACTGAGAATGAACATCAGAGAACTATTGACCAGGAAAATACAAAATAATCAATATTTCTTGAATATTAAATGAATTAAGACATATACAAGCTGGATTAGAACACAATGCTTAAGATGCACTAATGGCAATAAAAACGGAGTTATTAAGAACAACTTAATGAAATCGCTTCTAAAGAGCACCGATCAGTCCCCAACAAATTAATTTTGGAAAAGAGAAAAAAATATTAACATTAATATGCACAACAAAATACAACCGCTGCAATATTACTATTACTATGTTAAATTTTGTTAAAGTAGAGAAAAATCTCCCAATCCATAATGATAGAACCAATAAACTCTATGCACTAATAAGTAATAACATACTTTTTCTTTGCTAGGAGTTCGTTTCCTCTTGGAAGTTGTTTTTGGCGTCTTGTCCAAGATCTTCTCATCTTTGGTTGTTTTTGGTGTCTTGTCCAAGATCTTCTCATCTTTGGTTGTTTTTGGGGTTGATTTCGGCACGGGTGCTGTTTCCTAGAAGAGTAACCACAATTTAACCAGACAATTACTTAGGCATCAATGGGGATAAGATTTTACAGTCAAACCAGATGTAGTTAACACTGCTCCAATCACCTTTTTATCATCATCGCCTGACAATTTTTTCACGGTTTTTCCAGAGATAGATTTCCCTAATCCCTTCCTTTTTTTAGCTTCAGATTGCTTTGAAGATCCAACAGTACTCTTACTGGCTCCATCTCCCTTCCTAGCAGACTGCTTCAATATCTTAGCCTCAGAATCGCTGGTAGTGTCACTTTCCCTTTCTGCTGCCTCTTCAGCCGCAACTGTCTTAGAATCATCAGAAACCCCAGCAGGAGCCTTTTCTTCAGCATGCGAATTGAGTTTTACTTCCGAGTCATTCATTCCTTCAGATGAACTTTTTGAAACTTCTGCAGATGATGCTACCTGTTTAGCTGAGTTGCCTTTCTTTTTTGCTGGCCCCGCCTTATTGTTACACTCATCAGGAACACTTCCACTTAGTGAAGGTGAAGCAACATTTGTTGATTCGATCTCCATAGCCTTGGGTGGAGAATGCTTGGCCTCAACTTCCTCGTTTTCTGAAGGCATATTTTCAGCAGACTGGCCCCCTCGAGGAGAACTAGGATGTTCGCCCTGGCTTTCATGTTCTGGCAGGTTTTCAGATGCCTTCTGGGCATCAATATGAGAAACTTCAGTAGATTTCAGAGATTGATTAGATTTCCTACCTCTTTTCCTAGAATTTTTTTCAGGTCTCCCCTTCACACTGCCAGCCTTCTCAGAGCCCAAATTGGCAGGTTCAGAACTTTTAGGTGATTTTACCTCTTTGCACTCCCCATCACCATGTTCTTCCTTCTTGTCTTCTAAATTAGTGACAGAGCCATCTTCACCCCCCTGTGCAATCCCGTTGCTCTTAACTGAGTCGTGATGTTTCTCAATGGCTGTATCAACTCTCTCAGGTGTAGCCACTTCCGTGGGTTTCTCTTCAACCTGATAGATATTGTATCATTTTTTTCAGTATCAGTAAATCAAAGTAACCACTTTCTACATACCAACCTAACATGATATATTTTACATAACTCACATATAAAATAAACAACTGCCTGTTCTAACAAGGGAGGAAATGTTTTATAAAATAAATTCATGGAAGAATACAACATTAAGAAGCGTTGCATGGTTGGTTACCTCATCGCCGGACGTTCTAGCTAACTTGCTCTCAGCAACCTGCACAAAGTTTCAGTAGATAAAAAATAAATTAAAAAAAAACCATTACAAAAGAGTCAACTCTACTCAACAGGAGGTCAGCATCATAAAGACTACTTTTGTCAAGGTTAAATTAAAGAACTAACCACGTTTTCACCGCCATCATGAAGATTACTTGTTTCAAGAGAGCCAGAAAGCTCTTTGCATATGGAAGCAACAACATCACTATAATCATCAAAAGAAATTCCCAAGGTTTTAACAGCTTGCACCAAATAAGGTTTGAGCTTAGTAGAACAGCTATCAAGAACTTTCTCCCCCAACTTCCGAGCAATGGGCAGAACTTCCTGAAAATGATGTTATAAGATTCAACAGACAATTAAAAAGTGAAAAGAATTCTAATTTTAAAAAAAACAAAAACAAAAAAGAGAGAAGGGGAACAAATAACAACTCAAAGCACATTACCTCATTGTCCTTCTTCACACTATCTAAGATAGGAGAGAGGAGCTCTACAGATATATCTTCACTTTCTTCCAAAACAAGGCTCATAATTGTCTCCATGGACGTAAATACATTCTCTGGGTGATAATCTCTGGATGAAAAGTACTATTAATAAACATAACAACATTTTGAACACCAGAAAATCTAAAATTAGAATTTCCAATTCGGCAAAATAAAATGTGCAATGATCGCAATAATACTTAACAGAACAAGGACAAAAAGGAAAAAATAAAAAATATTCAAAAAAACAATTAAAAAAAATAGAAGCTTAGCTAATAGAAGCAAAAGGCTAGACCTAAAACGAACAGATGGAAGGCCTACAATTTTACAGACAAAAAACACATCCTAAACGAAGAACAAATATAACCTAGGGGGTATTTTATTTAAACATAAATAGGTCAAATCAGAGAACAAATTACAAAGAGATTCTTGGTGGTTCGTTTTAGTCAGAAGTTAATAGCCAACTCGTTGTTTGAGTGTCAGAATTTTGCTTTTGTAAATCTTTTACTTACCATTATTAATATCAAATCTCATCAACTTTTACTCTGCGTACACCAGAGGACACTTACTTGTTACTGCATTCATCTTAACTCCAAGTTATCAGCAACTTTTTAGAAGATTTGGCACAGCAAGCAATATGCCAAGACATCATTAATACTTATGAACTTATGCTAAACCTCCTACCAGATTTATTGCTCGTTATGTCATCCAATAATAACCTTATAGTCAACATATTACAAAATAAAATTCAAATAACACATTCTACAATTTCATGAATGTATTTTAGTAAAACCTGGCATCCAGACTAAAGGGCAATCGAAGGAACTCCATTACATTCAAAAGAAGCGTTGAAAATACAGTAGACCACCTTCCACCTATTTTTAGAAGTTGCCTACTGACCAACTAAAACAAACCCAAGAAACTATTTAAACTAATAAACTGTAACCAAAAAACTGAAACTTATTACAATGTTATCCTACTAATCTAGAACATCAATTCCCACCCACTTAATTTATTTATTAAAAACATTTTTAAAAAGAATAAAAACCCTTACTCTTGAGCTTATGATTTGGTGTGGATACCAAGGAAACAAAAAACTCTGGAGGTTGAAATTTGACTTCTACCTACAATTTAAAAACATCTTAAAATGTTGTTCTGAGCTCATCAAAACACGAATATAAGGTTGTATGATTCTCGATGCAGCACCCAACCCATAAATTTGAATTACAAACTTGCAGGCCATTGAATAAATACAATATTTTAGGATTAAAAGTCCAATACATTCCTGGTTAGGCTTTCGTAATAGCCCATCACATGAACCATTGAAAAAGCCCTCTTCACTTATGTCAATTGTCAACTTTGTCAACAAAATCATTGATCACTGAATCATGCTGGAAAACTGTTTGGGAGGAAAAATCACGGGTAACTTTAATTGTTGAAATCAAATGGAACTCGGGCTTTTGCAGACAACAACTCTCTTTTTCAGCAAAAATTTCATTCAAATACATGGAGAACTCTCCTCAAACAACCGACAGCTTCTTATGATAGCCTCATCACGGGCAGGAAATGATTCCTCCTTTGACCAAGTCTGAGGTTTCTTGTGAAATAAATCCATTAAATTGTTGTACTGGCAGATGATCCACAAAAAATAAACTACATTATTCTTCCAGTCTTTTTTTTTTTTATAAGATTCTTCCAGTCTTTTAAAGTATCATCTTCAATTAAATTTTCATTATATCTAGTAGTGTCAGAGCATCATTCCCTTGAATACAAGAGGTCTTATCATGTGAGACTCATTTGATAGTTCGTGCCGGCCGGGTTTTGAAGGAAAATCAGTTTCTAAACATACCCTTGCAAATAGTTGGTCCAATTTCTTCCTCAAACTACATATATTTGAATCGAATGAATGACGATGACTTTAAACAATGGATTATGCATCAAATTCTTCTTAAATCAAGCTTTTGTAAAGCTTTAGAGTCTCCTCCATGCTATTTCATCAAGACCCACTGTGCAGTTAAGTTCCACAATCAATTTCTTGATGCACATAACGAGAAGACAAGTTGACACTCTTCCTTTCAAATGCATTACAATATACAAAACAAATATCCTCTTTGATCAAATGTGATCAAGCCCTCGCTTAACTAATGCACTGCTTCTGTGAGGCCCATCACAAAATTGAACTTGAATGTGATCGTCCAAGTAAATGCTGTGGATCCATTACCAAAATCCTCTGACCAATTATAAAGGATAGATTTTCCATACAATTTTGACACCTTCACAACTTGTTCTTGAAAGTAAAGTTCCTTATATAATCATATGAAACTAGATTGATAACCCCATAATTTTGAAAAATACTTGAATATTCATGCAAACTCAAATCGCATGTGTTTCTAATCCATTGAACACAAATGCCTAAGCCTCTACTGAGAACTCCAAACCATTGAAAACTTAGGCATTCAAACTGTTGGCAAAATCCATAAAGTTTATCCTTTCGCAATCTATCCATCAATTTGATGGGTTAAATTTCGAATGACTCTTAGTAGTGTTCCATGTTTCTTGTCATGGTTGTTGGGCAAATCCTCCGCACAGTGGAGATAGTACTGAATCTCGAGCACTACCATTCAAACCTTTATCAAGAAGGAACTTTTAGTTTTCATCACCTAAGATTCCTACTTGTTATCCCTGCAAGCAACTCCTTTCCTCACTCGAATACCAAACTTGGTGCAGCACGTACCCTCAAAAGACTACCAAAGAGACTGTATTCCATTCAAAAAGTATAGAGGATACAAAGGACCCTCCTTTATTTATAAAGCTTACCTACTAACCAACCCTCAAAACAAACCAACCACCAACCCATAAAACTAATTAACAAAGGATTCAACAAATTAAACCTTATAAACAAACTATATGTACAAAATAGAAACTCATTACAAAACGATCTAACTAATTCACTACATTATATTTTCAATTGGGTTTTTCCTGCCACTCCATATGCACTCAAATGCCACACCACAGCAATTTTTCAACCAAAGCACCAAATATAATGGAAGATATTTGCTGCTTTTTATTTATGTTTTTGGGTACAAGTCAATTTCTTATAAAGTGGACAAGTCAGATTGCATTTCATGGAGTCGACAGTTCTATTTGTTCAGAAAAAGAACTTAAATTGTTGGAAAATCAATATCTTTCACAAATGTGCTCTCAATAAGTGAAAACATAAAAGGTATTTAATTTCAAAATAAAATCTAGTATGATACCTTACTGTCTTAAGGAAATGTTGGAACATTTCAATGATCAATCCATCACATTCCAAATCCAGCATGACTACACATGATCTGACCTTTGCAACAGTTTCAAGAATGGATGCCCTCTTTGCATATGACCGGCTCGACTTATCAGAGAGGTTTTCAAAGGATGATACTATGAGATGAAATACCTCCTGAACAGCAGAATATATATAACTGTTTAAAAAGAACTTTGATAGGAGGGAAATAGACATTGTATCCACTCAGAGACCCAATTTCTAATTACCTTCATTTGCTCATCATTGTAAGGGGCATCGGGTGCAGTGATCCTTGTTATTTCACTAATGCATGCAGCAACTGCAACTTTGACATGAATATCTGAATGCCTTAGAAGCGGATCAGAAACCAGTGCTTTCAGTGATGGAGTGAGAGCATTTTGCATTGATTTTGAAGGGGATTGTTCAACCCTTGCCAGCAAACTCTCAATTTTCTGCATTCAGAAAGATTATTTTGGAAAACAATAACAAAACAGAACACACACACACACACACAAACAATGCAATGTGCTACCTATCAAACCACAAATGATCCATACAGATAAAACTTTTGAATGCCAAAGACCTGGAAGGTATATTCTGAACCTAATATTTCATTATATTTCAATTCACCACAAGCAAGGAAAGAGGAGAGGGAAAGTAATTACCTTAGCAGGAGAGCAAAAAGATGTAAGGTGGAAAAATACCTCGTTATTCGTTACTAATGTACAATTCAAAGAATCAGCACAAGAGACAGATTCAAAAGGTCAAAGTTCGACTTCTAAGAGGTATTGAAGTGCCTGACTGGTTCTAAAAGCATTAACCCTCATTACGATTTGACACATTACCCACATTCCCAGAAGTTTTGAAGAAGACATATAATCTCAAGCAATTCCCTCAACAGTTTTCAAACATTCACCTTACCACCCAAACCAATGGGAGACTTACTACTCCCAGCTGCCAGCCTGACGTGGGCTTAGAAAATGTCAGCCTACCCAACAATATCCAATAAACTTGAATAAAAACACTTCAAATCACTTTCTAGTTTAAGTTGTGCCACTTGACATCAAAAGTTTCGGATGTATGAAAAAATTAAAAGAGACAAATCTAATTCAACCTCTTTCATTCGTGCCCAGTGAGATTTGAAGTTAAGTTAGAAATATCTCGTCAATGGTGTGGGTTCCAACTTAACGTCTCATGTGAAATAGTAGAAGTAATCTAGAAGATTAATGAATAATGCAGTAGATACGCACAAACCATGACTGGAAATGCTTTCGTAAATGAGCTTTGAACAACATATAAGTTTTCTTTCCATAAATTAGCACCGTATCAGCAACACAACAAATACAATTTCGATACTTATCTAACATAGTTGCCCCCATAAAAACGCTGCAATTATAAAATTTTGAAGACCAGTGGCACAACTGATTCGTTTCTGATATTTCATCCAAATTCGTGTTTATAACATGTAGACATTATCGTAAGCGCTGATCTCTAACGAAGTAAAAAGACGGGAATTTGCGATATAGGGCAGCGGAAGACGAACAAACAAGACGGAACGCGATAAATTATCCAGGGAGAAACCAATCGAGCATCAAATGTCACCGGAAAAGCTTCAGTAAAGGAAATTTCAAGGACAGCGTTCCGCCAGGTTGAAAATAACAAATTCAGTTAAACACAACCTCAAAAAATTCCCAAATCAATTTTTAAAACAGAATAACAAAATAACCCGCGAATGTTTAACACGAACCATACATAAGAAAAATGTTAGGGCTTACGTCGAGAAGAGGAAGAAGTTCTTCAACTGAACTAGGTGGGTCTACAATCTTATTGCCAGCTTCCAGAAGCTGCTCTTCGACATCCTTGTCCGAAGACGCCATTGTTACTCGGTTTGTAGCTTAGCCTTCCAGATCCTTCCAAGTCCGGGACCGGTCAGTTCAATTGAAGTCCATGGAAGCAGGGGAACCCACCGAATCGAATGGGAATGGGGCAAAATCAGATAGAAAAGGGAGGGAAACTTGAAAGAGAGACGGGGGAGAGAATGAGCTAGGGTTTTTTCTAGAGAGAGGGAAAAAAACGAGTGTTTCCTTCCAATTCCAAATATTTTGCTGCGAAAAAATAAAAATCTCTCTCTCTCTCTTCTCTCTATCTCTCGCAACTGTTTATAAAAACAAACATTGCTCTTTTCCACTATCCACGCTCGAAGGCATCCTTTCCTAATTTAATATCCCTTTTTTTTTCCTTTTTTTCTTTTTTCTTTTTCCCTCGTCTTTTCTGAAATAAATATCTTCGAATAGGTAGATATATGAATTTTCGTACAATTTCAAATCATAGGTTAATTGATTAAGACACTTTTTTACGTTGAATATCCCTAAAACATATATTTTTACATGTAGTTTTTGTTCTTATTCTATTTTATAACAAAAAAATTAATTATTTTAGTTAAATATTGATGGTTGTAATTATTTAAAATTAACCCTGCAATTTAACTTTTTAAACGTTTTTTAATATTGATATAATAATTTTGGTAATTTAGCTAGTATTTAAAATTAACTGACAGATGGAATTTAGTGGATAAAGGTAATAAATTTACCTTTAAAAATGTGTATCTGTAAGTAATGCATGAATGATGGAACAAAGGGCTGCACTGGCATTTTTTAATTGTACTTGAAATAAAATACTTTAGGACATTTCTCCGTCATTTTTCTTTTGTATATTCAAATAAATAATTTTATTTGACAAATTTTTGCTATAGTCGCTTTATTTATTTGAAGTAAAGGGGAACCCCTAGTTTTCTATATTTAAGTTATTGGGGCAATGGCTCGATGCAGTTATATTTTTATGTCACAATTCACAATAAACAAAATTTTGTAGACAAAAAATGGTTGTAATAAAGCTTTGTCACGCGTAACTCTATATGAATGTGGTAACCTTATAAATTTTTACAAATTTTCGCATTTAGAGAGAATGTCGAACGTGACGTAAATGTTTGAGAATAAAATGATAGATAAGGTCGAAGATGTGCCTTTCATTATTGGTTATATGAAGATATTTATCTTCATTCTTTATCTTATTATCCGATTATGATTATCGAATTGGGATTTTTTTTTTTTGACAATCAATTATCGAGTTCGAATTAAGGTAGCATAATACCTATTCCGTATAACGAAATTCTTTGTAGGGAAAAACATTGATTTCAAATTGTCTCGAAATAAATTAGTACCGGTTTAAGGTGGTGTTATCTAGTTGTAATATAATTTTATTTAAAGATTAATAACCATGTTTAGATTATATATGTTAGTGACAAATAATTTTTTAACAAATATTTAACATTTTTACTGATAGTTTAATAAAAATGTTAATAAATATATATATATATATATATATATATATATATATATATGACAAGTATCTTCTAAATTTATAATATATGCTTTGAAACGAGATTGGATCAAGAACCACAATGAAGGTTATTTTATCATAGTTATCCTAAAAATAAGTTTAAACAATCTTTTTTGTAATAATTTTGTTTTTAAAGATTACATTGAGATTCCCTCAACACATGGAAGGTTGACTCACGAAGATATTTTTGTTTTTATTTTTGTCTTTCTTGATTCAATTAAAAAAAATAATAATTTGATCACTAATATCGATATTGGATTTTTTTATAGTACAATATGTGAAGGCGGGGATCGAATTCACAATATCTTAGTTGGAGATATATGTAAATTGTCACTAAATCATGCTCGCTTTGGTAATAACGAAATTAGATTGCTAGCAAGTTAAACAAATAATTATAATAATTATTATTTAGTTTAACAACGGGTGACTATTTTAACCTTCAATATTTGAATAAAAAAATATTTTTAACCAGTTGAATTATGCTTAGACATAATTTCCAAAAAAATGTTCAACAATCGTCAACTAGGCTGCTTAAAGTACGTACATACAGACAAGAGAAATAATGTACTAGCGGTACGTAAATATTTATATTAATTTATAAAAAGATCGTTGGTCATGTGGTAGATGTATAAATAAATGTGGATATAGAGGTTTATTTATTTATTTTATACTTTTATTAAAAAAATAAAAATAAAAAAGTACTTTTCAAAATACAACATTAGGAAGCCCAACACGTCAGTCCGACCTCAGGTTACCAAATACGTAGGACAAAGATTATTTTGAGTTATGAGTCATAGGAGATGATGAAAACGATAAGACAAGTGAAACATTCGAAATTTGTATCACGCTGATTTGAAGAATGAAACGAAGGAAAAATCTTTAACCCAATTCATAACAACTACAAAAGGCTTGAAAAGCACCTTAATATATTAAAATTTTACTACATTTTGTTATGATGGCCTCTAAAAAAATGATTTAGTCCACGATGCACTGCTTTCACAAATACTCAAATAATATCACCGTTCAACTATATTTGAATTGACATGGTTCACATATATAAAGCATTATAATTTTTTTTCTAATACAACATTGAAAATAATGTTGAAGTTAATTACAAAGTTATTTTTCTACATATCTCAAGTGTTTTATTTTAGTATGGGTGAGAGATTTAAATTCACGACCTTCTGATCGGACATATGTGCCTTAACTCGTTGAGTTATGTTCAAATTGGTGAAAATATTTTCAAATATTATTCAACATCTACTTTTTACATAGGTAGTGCACGCACATATAATTTATTTAACATCTACTTTTTATATATATGTCACGCGCACATAGAATTTTAATTTTGTAACCACAGTATTATTTTTCCATTGTATAAATTTATTCATATAATTTTTGGACCCTAATATTTTGACACTGTGGCAAGGAGGTTTATGTGCTGACATTCAAAATCTAGACACGGAACATCTTGTGTCGATAGATTTAAAAGAAAAAAAAAAGGCAAGACAATATTTATTTTATGGTAGGTTTAGTTTTGCAGCTTTTGAAATTTATTTTACAACATAAACAACAATTAAATATCAGTGAATATGTAATTGAGATACAAACCTTAAAGTTTAAAAGCAAATAAATTTAAAGTTATAACTGTCTATAAATACACAATTAGAAACGAAAAAGGGAAAGAGGGTGGAAAGATCGGGATTTATTTGTTTTATGTTGTAAGCAAGTACATATTAATGTAAAAATAAACCCAGAAATTAACTTTATGTCAATTATTATGTGTTAGAAAACAATAATGTTGACATTTTTTAAAAACTTTATGCAGGGGCAATACTATATTAGTATTTAATTACATATGCTCTCTACCTACCTGCCATTTATTAATTTATCGTCATCTCATACAAAGTTCCGAAAGATTAGGAGGAAGCTTTTTAATGAAATTACTTCTTTGCCCTTGGAGCTGGCCTACATTTGTCGCGATATGGGTAATAGAATAGATCTATTAATTTTTAAAATGTCAAATATTAGACATACTCGTTTGATATAAAATTGAAATTTTAGATATTCTTAGTTCGCCTACACAAAATTGAAAATTTATACACTTATCAGATATTTTTTAAATTTGGGGATTTATTATATTTAATTTTAGAAATTCAAAACTTATACATTTTTTTAATATTAATTGTGTAATTATTTTTTAATATTTTTATTATCTAACAATTTATTTATTTAGACCGATAAAAATAAGATTTCGATACGACATAATTACTCATACAACCACGTATGTTATGCTAAAACTAAAATTAAAAAAAAAACAAAAAAAAAACAAATCTAACTTATATTTTTTTTTACAATAAAAACAAAACAAAACATTAAATTAACACATCAAGACGCCAGCACATCCAAAATCTCCGACGCCTAATCTTCCATCTAGATTTGCCGTTTTTCTGCTAGAAGGTGAGCCACTTCGTTTACGTTCCTCTTTGTGAATCTAAACATTGCATGCAACCTTTCGGCAAAGGTTGATTTTGCAAATGATATGATTGAGCCGGTTTCTGACAAATCTTCTTCCTCACTTCTTAGGAGATTGAAGACTCGAAGGGAGTCAGTTTCAAGGAGAATTGGTGAAATTCCTGATTCCGACGCCAAACGAAGATCTTCCATCATTGTAATAGCTTTTGTTTCATCTATCGATGCAACGTCCGTTGGGTATTTCAATAACTTTTAGTTTTTTTTAATACAAGGTGTATATTTAAACATTTAACTTTCAAGATATGGTTGAGGTCCAATCAGATTGACATAACATAATTAATAATTAAAATACATAGTTAATGGACGAGATGATTATATTTGATTTACCAATGTTTTTAATAAATTGCCGGAACTTTTTATTTTTATTTTTCTTTTGTTTATTAATTAAAAGAAAAGCCATAACTCGTTACAGGCCCAACTTAAAATTTTTGCACGCGGTAGGGAGGGATGATGATTTGGGCTTGAGGG